AATTAATCAAATCTCTAGATTTCAAAAGTTATTTAAATGATTCCAAATTAATATATATCAAGGACCAACTCATGGTCATACCATATCTCGAGTCCAAAATGGGATACAAGCAAAACACAATTTATTAGAATTTAAATCAAATTAAATTCTTTAAATCTTTAGATTTAAAAACTCATTTAAATCATCCCAATTTAATATACAACAAAGATCAAGTCATGGCCATGCCATATATCTAGTCCAAAATGAGTTATAAGCAACTACCATTAATCATAATTTCTCAAATTAATATAATAAATGCATACAAGTTGTATAAGTATCAAAAACATACAAGATAACAAACATATAACCCTATAACATCCCCTACCTCACTAGAGAAGTGTCTCTCTAGAATCCAAGGCAAAATCAACACAAAATGGCAAACCCTTCTAGGGTTATGAAGAGGAAGATAAGGGGAACAAAATGTATTCCCAAGTTCAAGCTTGGAAATCAATGGAAGGCTCTCAAAATCATGGTCAAAGCTTAAGACTTTAGGTTCCATCCATAGAGGCTAGGGTTTTCTTTACAAGAGAGGGAGGAAATGAAAAATGATGAAGATGAAATGTGAATGGAGGGGATTGAGATCCTCCACTCACTATGTGCTCTTACACTACCTCTCACACACACACTAATGCAAGATCAAATTATGAGCCTACACTTGTCACAAATCCAAGGCTCCATCCTAGGCTAAATCTCAAGCCTACACTTGTCAACCATCAAAGCCAACAAGTGCACCAATCCTAGGCCAACAAGTGGTTAAATCTCCACCCTCCACATGTCCTCATCCAAGGCCTCAAAGTGTTTCCATACACATGTCAACAAGTGGACCAATGAGAGTGTGACACTTGTCACACTTTTCAAAAATTACAAAAAGGTCCTTTTTGAAAATATCTCCCAAATTAAATTGTAAAATGGTCCCTAAGACGAAAAATAATTACTTTACAGTAATTACACAAAAACCCCTAAAGTTTAGAAAATTACAAAAAGGTTATGCATCTATACCCTTTACAAGAAAAGTAAACACTTAGCATGCTTTTCTACAAAAGTGAAAATACACATAGTATGGAATTTAAATATCGTGAATGCATGCAAAACCGGAATCAAATTCGAACACGAAAAGTGAGGTTATGCCAACAAAGTGACAACCGAGAAAAAGACGAAAAGTGAATAGTGTCACAAAAGTAAAAATGTAAAAATGACTCGATCCTCAAAGGAAGTCGTCAATCCACGGAAAAGAGTCTCGAAAACCATCCCCAAGCACTCAAGATGACACTAAGTGACGAGAAACTGAACTCAGAAACGAAAAGACCAACGGAAAAAAAATATCCGTGAAAATCTGAAAAAATGAAATGAATGAAAATGACCGAGTCATTATAATTACAAAATATATATTTTTCACAATATCCCTAAAATATATATATCTCACATATAGTACAACTATAAAATGATTATTTGATAAGATCAGTTGATCTAAATTGTTTATATAAATATACAAATAAGTAGTGTGGTTCTCCATCTTCATTATAAATGAAATAAAACTACATTAAGGTTCTTTTTGTTTCGACGTAAAATATTTTTTTTGAATTTTTTTTTTTTTGAGGTAAAATATTCTTTTATTTTTACTTTATCGATCTTTGGTAAAAATCTACGTCGAGATTGAGGTCGAGTCCATCGAGCAAGACATGTAAAATAACTTGTCAAAAATTGATGAATAAGTTACTTTTATTACTAGTATATTTTAATATTTTTTGTCTTGATAAATATTTTACGACAATCAAACATTAAAAAATAAAAAAAAATATTTTTTGTCTTGATAAATCACATATTTTTTGTTTTCAATAACAAAAGCCCTATCAATTCACTCTCTCTTGATATGCCTCGGTTGTCTCTATCTCTACTGCAACTCCTTAGTCAACATCCACTTTTCGACTACAATTCATTCCCATTGGTGATCGAATACTGAACCAACTACCTACATTTGAAAATTTATAAGTGGGAACTCTTAGAGCGACAATATACAAATGCTTGGATAATGCTGACAGTTTGACCTATTTGAAAAGGTATATTATTATTATTCTTTTATCTATTTTTAATATTATAAAAGTAAATATAATTCCTTTTTTTTTTCCTAACAAACAAAGAAAAATTACATCTGAACACAAAGATCAGCCTGGGAAAGTTGTACAATATGAGCAGGAACACACTCTAACACAATATCATCCTGATTTAGACGCTTTGAAAGGTTGGCAATTTCATGAGCCACTGTATTCCCTTCTCTCCTAACATGAGAAATATTCAGCTCCTTGAACTAACTCAAAGCTTTTTTGACATCAAAAATTAATGTTGAAATTTCAAATGTAAGAGATTTCACCCCACAAACCGCATCAATCACCATCTTAGTGTCACATTCCACCCAAAGACTTTGACACCCTAAGTGTTGAGCCCACCAAAGTGCCCTCCAAAGACAATATAAAAGTAAATATAATTCATGACACATCAATTGTAAGAAAGTTCTTCATACTAATAAAGAGGGGAATATTGTTCGTCTTTTGATGAGAGTATGGAATTAGAAGGTACTTGAATGTATTAGTTGTGGTTTTCTTACATGCGGTTCAGGAACAACAAGATTGTGCGTGCATCAACAATTTAAATAAATAAATAAAGATAATACTTATCTACTCAATAATGAATATAAAAATAAAGTGACAAATTTTTCTAATAAAAATTATAATTTGAGAATAGTATTTTCATTAGCTTCAACTTTCATAGATAAATATTTCAATCGGTGTAATATTGTTTTACTTTTAATCCCAATGATCTAAACAGATACGATATAAAAGTCTTATGAATTTAAATATTACTAATAAAAATTATAATTTGAGAATAGTATTTTCATTATCTTCAACTTTCATAGATAAATATTTCAATCGGTGTAATATTGTTTTACTTTTAATCCCAATGATTTAAACAGATACGATATAAAAATTCTTATGAATTTAAATATTACTGAACACAACTATACAGCTCGTACCTCAAGTACCTTCACATATATACCTACACACCTGTACACATATTTATATTAAAATAGTGAGTGTGCTTTATAGTGTGTGCATATATGAGTTGAATAAGTCCCAAAAATATGTAAAATAAATATTATTGAAATAAAAGTATATATATATATATGTTATAAATTAATTATAAAAAAAAAGTCCTGATGAAACAAGAAAATAAAACCACTATTTTTCCAATTCTAAGTTAATTACCCAATAAAAAAATAGTAGTTACTGGCAAAAAAAGTCAGGAAGTGAGAACTTCAAAGTCTATATTTGTTTGTACATTTATTCATAATTAATTATTTCACTTAATACATTTCATTTTAATTAATCAAATAATATTTTTTGTCTAATATTTTTAATTTATGGTTATTTAAAAATAATTTAATTTTATCTTTGATTAAGTAATTATATGAAGTGATTATATCTTTTAATTGTGTTAAAAATTTCGTATACATAAGGCCATCCGCAGCAGGCTAGCCGAAGGCGTTGTTTAGCGATTTGGAGCCCAAACCCCGTGCAGTGAGCTAGCTTAATTGGGCGGGGCCCACTTTGGCTCTTGGAATACCGCGAGGTTAAGCCCGATCGCTGTATATTTTTTTTGGTTTTTCCCTTTTGCAAAATGGCGCTGTTTCGCCTGAGCCTTTTTTTTTTTTTTTAAATGGACATCCTTAAGGCACTGTTTGACAAGATTTTTTTTTTTTTTTTTTTTAAAAAAAAAAACCCAAAAATAGGTTTTTTTAAAAATAAAATAAAATAAAATTCATTCAATAAATAATATATTGTTTAGGCACTGTTTGTCCAAAAAAAAAAAATTTGGGCCAAAAAAAAATTAAAAAACCTTTTTTTTTCACTTAAAATTTCTCTTTTTAAAAAAATTTTTTGCTTTAAATTTTAAATTTCTACCACAAACAATGCATTTGGCCATTAAGTCACTATTTGGCTGACACAAGTAGTGCCTTAACAGCTATAATTTTTTTTTTAAAAAGTATAAAAAATTCAATTTTTTAAAACTTTTTTTTTTTAAAAAAAAAATAATTAAAATTAAAAATTCATGTACTTATTCCCATAGGATTTTGTAATCCTTATTTTCTTAATCCAATTCATTATTTTTAATCTTAAAAAACCATTACATAATAAAAATTCTAGTACACAAAATGTCATAACATCTTAAAAGCAAACAAAATGTAACATAAACATCTTCATCACCGTAGCGATTCCACAAACTTTCTATCAAATCATTCATCAACCGCGTATTTGTCTCTCTATTGCAAATTTAAAGTTGGTGAGAGAATATGTGTGCCCCTAAAACCGATAGGTATTAACTTAAAGTGGGATTCGGGATTGCATCCTCCGGTGGTGAAGTCCATCTTCCAACATTTGCATGACGCTCCTCTTCAATGATCATATTGTGAAGGATGATACACATTTTCATTCTGAGGCGCAAGTCAACTTTTTCCCAGTAACGCACTAGTCCTTGCATTATTGCCCACTTGGTCTGCAGTACCTCAAAAGCCCGTTACACATCTTTCCTGCATACCTCTTGTCGCTGAGCAAACAATTTTTCTTTTCCAGTGGTAGGGTGCAAGATAGTCTGCATCAAAGTTGCCCACTTATAGTATATACGAAATAGGTAATACCTCATTCTATAGTGATATCCATTCACTACATAATTAACCAGAGGTAAATGGCCATTGACAATACCATTGAATATCGGGGAATGATCCAACACATTTATATTATTATGTAAACCCGACATTCCAAAGAATGCATGCCAGATTCACAAATCTTGTGATGCAACTACTTCCAATATGAGAGTATTCTTACTAGAGCATCCCCTCTTTGTGTCGTGCCACTCCACTGGGCAATTCTTCCACTCCCAATGCATACAGTTGATAGAACAAAGCATACCCAGAAATCCTCTCTGCTGCCCTTCTTCAAGCAGCCATGTTGTGTCGGCTTCGTTGGGTGGGTGCATATACTCATCTGCATACACAGCAACAATAGCATTACAAAATGCCTTCAAGCATTTAATGGCAGTGCCCTCGCCGATTTTAATATACTCATCATAGTGATCGGCTGCACAACCATATACAAGTATACGAACAGTAATTGTCATCTTCTGTATAGAAGACAACCCCAGACGATTAGTCGCATCCTTTTTTTGGACAAAGTAGTCATCATAAGCTTTGACATCATTAAGGATACGAAGAAAAAGTTCTCATTGCATCCTGAATCGTCTGTGAAAGTACTCCGGTAGATATGTGCAATTCTCGTTGAAATAGTCTTTCATTAGCTAATAGTGGTTTCCCTCTCGGTCACGATGAATGTACCACTTGTTATTACAGACTTGAAATACTTGCTCAACTATCTCTGGCCTCACTAAATTCATAATCTCATAAAATTCGTCTTGATCATATTGAATCAATGTGACAATAGAGTCATCTTCCGAAGAGGATAACGAGGAAGATAAAGAATAAGAATAAATCCTACTACTTCTGGTCCTGGAATTGGAGTCTGCCAAAAGAAAAGCTTATGATGACGAAGCCATTGGAATTTCAAAAGTGAAAAAAGATGGATACTGATATTATGCTACCATGGAGAGAGATAAATGTAGTGATAATTTTCAGATGAGCAAATGAGTATTCATTATATAAGATGAAAAATATAGTCGTTAGGAATATAGCTGTTAGAAATATAGTCGTTTAGGAAAAGTTAAAATTCGGAGAGCCTGATGGAGTGTATATTTCTGGAGTGCGAAAGCTATTGACGTGGCTCTTGGAAAAGCTGAAGTAACATTTTTAGAGAGCCAAAATTCAGAGAGACGGGTACAAATGGCCTAAGGTAGCCTAGTTGGTGACTAGCTTAAATTTTTTGTCAGTTAATCATCATTCCACGTGATAACGAAACTAACACCCCAAATACAATCAGACACACTACATTACTTTCTCTAACCATCACTCCATGTGACAAAGAAGCCAACACCTCCAAATACTATCAAACGCACTGCATCATTCCTATCTCTTATTCATCAACAACTCTCTCTCCTCTCTCTAAGATCCACTGCCAAAGAAATCCTAAAAGAACAATGATCACATCCGATATATTGTAAAACCTTTTTCTCTTAGCTTGGAAGTTATCCATCTTCTTTAATAGTGATGCGCGCTCTCTATCTCGGTTTTACATTCTAGCTCTGAAGATTTGCACTAAAAGTGGTCATGGATGGTATTCAATCTTTTTTCACTTATTTTTTATATGCATACATATATATATATATATATATATATATATATATATATATATATATATTAAAAAAAAGCACGTACGATACATGTGAGCGAATTATTTATTAAACCATAAAGTAAAAAATTACAAAGAATTACAACAAAAATATAAAACAAATTTTAGTGGAAAAAACTAATTGATTCATGCATATCAAAGGCTGGTGATGTTAGGCATGAAATTTTATTTTTATTTTTTAAATTCTAAACTATTTTAAAGTTGCAATAACCCTGGACTATTTTCGATTGCAAATCGAACCCTAAATTATTAAAAAGTTGCAAATTACCCTCCTTTCAGTCACCAGAAGTCATTTTTCGATGTTCAGATGGTCAAAATTATCTAAATACCCTCACTTATTAATTTATATAAGACTTATAAAATGGCCATAATACACTTTAGGGGTCATCTTGCAACTAACCAATAGTTCAGGGTTTTTTTTGCACTTTTGATTAATAATAATAATAAATAATAAATAATAATAATAATAACTAATAATAATAGTAGTAGTAGTAGTAGCAGGAGTAGTAGTAGTAATAATGCAGATGCCTCAATAGCCCAGTGGTTAGTACCTCCGGTGGATTTTGAGAGTACCCGGCTTCGACTCTTTGCACCTACTAATCTAACTTCTAACCCTTCTTGCCTTGTAAAAAAAAAAAAAAAATAGTAGTAGTAATAATAATTTAAAATAATAACAATTATAAATTGCTTGATGGATCCATATGCTTTTGCAATCTCATAAATTGTCAAAAAACTGTTCAAATAATTATAATAATAATAAGAACTAATAATAATAGTAGAAGCAGTAATAATAATAATTTAAAATAATAACAAAAACAAATAACTTAATTAGTTGCTTGATGGGTCCATATGCCTTACAAATAGTTTTTGCAATCATACATTATCAACCAAAAAAAAAAAAAAAAAAAGAAGTTCAAAATAATAGTAGGTATATGAATGGACATGAATATACATATATATTCACCTTATCTATATATATGTGTGTGTGTGTATTAAATCAAACTCACCTTTTGCCCCTATTAGATATATAACAAAAGTGAAAAAAAAAAAAAAAAAAAAAAAAAGCAACTGAATTATTTGCAAAAGGAGGTATCCTCCTTAGCAATTAACCAAAGATTGGTACAACCCACTGAGCAACAGAAAATTGAGTCACTACGGCAACACTTTCTAAAGGAAATCTGTAGTGAGATTCCTAATGCTTTTTGGGCCAGAAAGAAGCATATTGTTTCTTTACCCTATGAAAAGGGGTTTACCGATAGCATGATTCCTACTAAAGCTAGTCCCAGCCACATGAAAGCTGACTACTTGGAATTATGTAAAACTGAAATCAGCTCTTTAATGGCTAAGAAGCTTGTCACTACTAGCTACTCCCCCTGGAGTTGCAGAGCTTTTTATGTCAATAAAAATGCTGAAAAGGAAAGAGGAATTCCTCGATTGGTTATTGATTATCGGCCACTTAATCTTACTTTAAGTTGGATCCGATACCCAATTCCCAACATCAAAGATCTTTTAGATAGATTACAAGCTGCCGTGATCTTTTCTAAATTTGATCTTAAATCTGGATATTATCAGGTACAAATTACAGAAGAAGACAGGTACAAAACAGCCTTTTGCGTACCTTTCGGACAGTATGAATGGACAGTAATGCCATTTGGGTTAAAAAATGCCCCTTCAGAATTTCAACATATTTTGAATGACATATTTAATCCTTTTACTGAATTTTCTATTGTTTATATTGATGATATTCTCATATTCTCAAAATCAATTGATCAGCATTATAAACACTTGAAAATTTTCAAAGATGTCATTTACCGAAGTGGTTTAGTAGTTTCTGCTCCTAAACTAAAATTGTTTTTAACTAAGGTCAGATTTCTTGATCATGAAATTTGTGATGGGAAAATTAGACCTATTAATCGCAGTATTGAGTTTGCTTCTAAATTTCCAGATGAAATCAAGGATAAAACTCAACTTCAAAGATTTCTGGGTAGCTTGAATTATATTCGAAATCACTACAGAAATCTTGCACAGGACACAGCAATTTTGTACACCAGGTTAAGGAAATCTCCTTCCCCATGGACTTTGGATCACACCAAGGCAGTCCAGAAGATTAAACTCAGAGCCAAACAAATTCCTTGCTTAGCTCTAGCCAATTCTTCATGGTTCAAAATTGTGGAAACAGATGCCTCCAATATTGGATACGGTGGTATTCTTAAATAGAAAAATCCAAATACAGGAACAGAGGAGCTTGTTTACAATAATTAAGTTATTGTCTTCCCGTGACCTTCAGAGGCACATGCATAAATATAAGTACATCCATATAGGTTTAATCCAAATTGCTTTTAAACCTTTAACCTTGTTAGGTATGGATGCCTGTATTCAAGCAACCCTTAGGGATGCTCGATGTCTGAAATTTCACCCTTCCTTGATGGGTGCACTGGAAACCAGTCTATGTCATGGACCGGTTTATTTTAATGTCTATCCTAGTCTGAATTTATCTTTAACAGATAAAAATATCCATGAGGCAGTTAGTCTTCGGGTTCAGACTTATGGATACGATTATTTACCTGGATCGGAAGTGATAAGTGTTATTTATCGCATCCATATTGATGAATGACCTCGTAAATCTGATAATCAGATTTGCCATCTATATTCCATTCATAAATGGTCTTGCCCATGATTATTATCGTAATTATGTACTGAACAATATGACTATTAGTCTGTCTGAATTATGTTTATCCCAGATTCAATTATAGGTCGTCCAAAAGTCGCGTTGGAATGTGCGTTGGAATGTTTAACCCATTTTTGCATTAAATTGCTGCACAGGGTATTGTTTCCAGTAAATCGTTGACAGACGAGTAATAGAATCTCTCTTAAGCAGAACGACGACAGAATAGTAACTTACTGTTCATCATATAATATTATAATATTTATACTGCTCAGACCTTAAAGCATTAACAATAATTAACAGACATGTTACAACCATCTTCGTCCTCCTCTTCAGGACTACAGGACAACCAGGATTCAGAACTGGTAAAAAATACTGAAGTCGTGGAATGGACCAATGTTCAAAATAAATTGAACAGATGGACTATCCCTCCAGTAAGTGCAAAAAGCATTTGCCTTGGTTTCCACTTTAGAACCACTGTCAGGGTCAATTCTTTTCAGAATTAAATGTTCAGGGGGAGGATGGACAGAGTGGAAAACCTTATCTTCAGATGTGGTCCATGGTTTGAGAAAATCATCCAATATGTTGATATTAACAAGAGAATGATTGGTCATGTAGAACCAAGAAACAAAAGGTATAACCATTTTGCGTTCTTGTAGAAAATCATAAAATTGGGTTTTAAAAAGTTGTAATTGATTTTGGTCAAAACTTTTGAAATACCAATTTCTTGATGTATAGCCAAGTTTGTAAAAGCAACAACAATACTGACCCAACCATTGCTAAGTTTGTCGTTGCTGGTTTTACAGGAATCCTTAAAGGATGGTGGGATAATGTTCTCACTGACATTCAGAAAGCTGAAATCTTTTCTGCTACCAAGATTGTTAAAGATGAAGCTACTCAACAATCAGGCCCTGCTCCTGATGCGGTTTACACACTCATTACCACTATTATCCAACATTTTGTTGGCCCTGAAGGTGCTAATAGTGAACGGAGTCGTGAACTTCTACAAAATCTAAGATGTCCATCTTTAACTCATTTCCGGTAGTATAAAGATGTATTCTTAGCAAAGGTTCTTCAGCTCAGTGATGCAAATCATGAGCACTGGAAAGCCAAATTTGTAGATGGTTTACCAACCTTCTTTGCTGAAAGAATCA